AAAAGACAATTATGAATTCGATTGCAGCAATGTAATCAGGTTCTTTATTTCTTATTGTCATCAAATATATTTACAGAAACGAAAATTCGTTTATCATCAATCAGAGTAGAACTCTTTCTCAGGATGTTCTGCTAAAGTTGGGTGGAAAAGTATTAAAATATACTTAATTGATCACCAACATTAGACCTGAATTTATAAAGTTATCTTCATTGGACTTGAACGTTTTCTTTTCATTACTTCTTCTGGATAAGGAAGTTAATATAGTAATTTCTATACACTTTTTATATTTTATAATAGTTAAAAATACATAAGGACTTTATTTCCTTGAGGCTAGAGGTCATTTTAAATATTCACTAAAGTTCAAATGAAAGTTTTTAAAAAAAAGGAATTGCGATATATTAATGTTGTTGAATGAAGATAAATACAACAAAATCACTTTTTTTCAGGACCAATAGGATACTCAGTTTTATTCCACGGACTGCTGCAAAATCACAGAATTTCAGCAATAATTTTCAAGTTGGTGACGGTCCCGTGCTACAGATGTTTTCTAAATATAAAATGAAATATATATATACATTGCAGTTAAGTTTCAAACACTGAATGTACACAGTTTCTTCAATATGTAAAAACTCTAACATTAGAACTTCTGCACATAATCTGGAAGTCTGAGCTTGAATGTTGCGTTTCACATGTAGTGAACTATTCGCACATTTACCAACATTACCTGAAGGAATATGTGTGTGTATGTATTCCTTCGCATTTTAGAAATTTATCTATTAAAGAAACACCCTAACATTAAAGCTTAAAAACTAACATGGTCATTGATAAGTGAACAACCTTAGTCCTCTGAAAATTACATAATTGTCATTTCTATAGCAAAAATGCACAGCAGTCAACATCTTACTCTAAAGTTAACTTAATCGTTATGTATGATTGCAAGATTATAAACAAAACAGTTTTAAATGTTTCCTTACTGGAAAAACTCAAGACAATTTCTAAATCCTTTTCATCTTAATTGTTTGTTTGGTATTAAGCGCAAAACTAAATAACAGGCTATCTGTGTCTGCCAACTGCAGTTTCGAAACCTGATTTTTTAACGTTAAAAGCCCTCAGACTTGACACTGAACCACGAAGAGCTTCATGTTAATAGCACGAACCTAAACAAGATTAAATAACGAGATAAAACCCCACCTATATCTTACTTAGCTTGTTAGAAAATTAAGTTTAGAGGTACTCAGTTTATTTTACTCATAGCTGACATATTGAATACCAAAGTATACATAAATAATCTAAAGTTTTTCTAACACTTTCATTCAAAGTGCCCTCTATCAGACATTCCGATACTAAATTGCTGTCCGGAAGACATATGATGTGATTCAGCACTTCCTTATTAACATTTTTAGAACGAGATGTTGTTGCAGCCCGTTCAAGTAGACTTGGTTGTCTATAACGACAGAGGTTTAATTTGTTTTATCACATTAGATCAAGTTGTATTTTTACCAACGAATTCTGAACTGTTTTCCCTTCGAATTTCGGTTTTATGAGAATCGATTGCTTATTTTCAAATACTCTTAATATTTATTTATTTCTTTTTTTTTTCTTTATGAAAAATAATTTTGAATCACGTTCCCTGACACATCTCAAAGTTATTCGGAAAAAGTCAAAACACCTGAAGATAATGCAGTGAAACCAAAATACCTAATGATAATGCAGTGAGACCAAAATCGTTACTGAAGACATTCAAAACATTAATATTTTAGTGACCATATAGTAAGAAAGTCCACTTCTTCAGTTGGTGTGACACAAAACGAAAAAGAAAAATAGCAAAATATCCTTCGTTTCAGTGCTTCTGACTGATAATCACATTTTACTAGATACGAGCTTAGTACTATCTGAAAAAGAGCTTTGGTTGTATTTGAAAGAGTTTCAGCTTTTCTGGCATCTTCTTCCAAGTGACATATAATACGGACATTTCAGGAAACTTTTACAACAGAAGCAGTAAAACAGAACAAACAATATTTTATTAATTATTAATGTGCAATGTAATATTTGATTACTATTCAACTACACTTACCATGGTAATCGTGGAATTACAGTCAAACAAGTAGGCTTAGAAATGACTTATTACAATGCCACTCCACAAAGCAGTAAAACAGAACAAACAACTTTTTTTATTAATTATTAAACAAAATCGGTCATTCATCATCTATTGAACACAGTTAAGTCAACGAATGACAAAAAAAAAAAACACCAATAAACGTAAATTTCAACTACAAATGTACACCATTTCTTATACCAAACCATGACAACAAAGTCCTGTTACTCAGGATCATATCTCAACAGCGCCCTATCTATAACTTTAATGGTCTTCGTACGAAATTTATAAACTTAAGTATGTTCAAATGAACTGCATGATGTCACTCAAATTTTTAAAGTTAAAAATTAATATTAGAACTTCACTATTGACAAATATTAAATAAAAGTATAAGAACATTGCAAGCCTTTTTATTTCACGTCTTTGTACTGTACGTATTTAAAAATGCCAAATGGATGTGTTTCACACCTTTTATAAGCCCTCTGGTGGCTCACAGGTAAGCCTGAGTCTTATCACGCCAAAAATCCCATTTCAATACTCGCAGTAGGCACAGCACGGATAGCTCAATGGGTAGCTTTGCGCTTATCAACAAACATATCTTATGTACGTAGTTTTATGGGCTAAACCTATTATAAATTATAGCTTTTAATTTCACACAACGAAAAAAAAAAAACTCACAAGTTTTTATTTTGCCTGTTCAGTTCTATAATTTTCGTGCGAGGTGAGGCCTATTCCTAAATGTCGTAGTCTTGATATTTTACCTTGAATTTCTTAAAATCGCTGGTTTCATGTGGTTAAACCAGATATCTTGACATCCTTGTTAACGACCGCTCCCATTATTTTGTGTATTGTCTGTAGTAGCGAAAACAATGGCTGTTTAGAATTTGTCTTTGCTTATCATATAAAAACCTAGAGAAAAGTAGTTTTGCTTTTGTCAAACCGGTTTCAACACTGATCATTTAACCACATAGAGAAGAGGGCAACAAAACCAGTATTCGGTTAATAATTTGTATGTCACGTGATTATTCGTCAAATTGATTTGAATGCAAGATACGAAACAAATCACAAAATTTATGGTTTGCTTTCTGTTTCCATTGTCATAGTTCTGGGAATTCCAAGTATAATATATCATACATAATTATTTTACATTTAATTAAATGTAAAATTAATTAAATATTTGTGGTATTGAGACGATTTGTTGAAAAGTCATGTTTGGGTTCTAATAATGCAATTTATATAAACATCTGACTCTAAGAAATATTATTTTAATTTTTGTAGTTATTAATGGATTTCATTAAATAGATTTTTAGTAACACTTACAACAAGAAATGGTTATTAGGGAGAGAAAATTCTGGTCAATATGAGAAAAGCAAACAATGGCCTAAGAAAACTAATACCAGTAAAACGGTTTTGGAAAGCATGTTTATTTCTTGTGACCGTAAATTATCTTAACGTCCTTAGAATTTTTATAGGTAATTTTTTTGACATTATTAATTTCTAACTACATATACATATGTCTGAAAACGAATTGGTTAGACCTAACATGTGTGATCCAAATCAGGACTGACTGCTGATTTTTGTTGTTATTCCTTATTTTTAGTTCATTTCAGATTTGAAAACGAAAAATATTATTTTAGGTTTATCTTTAGTCTGTCTCAAGGCAATTCCTGGGAGATATTTCGTTCTCTACCACACTTCATCAATGTGGACGGTGATAAAGAATAAAACAAATAAAAATATCTGCTGTTAGATGTAATGAATGTTATTGCTTCGCTGTCTCCAGCGTCTTACATCATATTAATACGGAGTTGATTAAGTTTAGCATAACCAAAGGTTTAGTCAGTTACCCTAATATATGTAATTGTGATCGAAAATTTTACTACATTTCCATTTCCTTAATAAAAGCTACTGTGTCACGCTGTTATCCATCCAATAGGTTTGTGTGTCTTTGTGGATTATAACGAGAACCAGTTTAAAGCTTAATGAGTGACAGAAGTTGCTCGGAGAAGTCCAAAGGTGAGATACTTACACAGAAACCCTCCAAGTGGACAACATAATAAATTATGATAAGCCCTTCCTTACCATTAGTCTAGTAACATGCATGCACAAAAACTAATAATAAAAAAGCTAAGTAATGAATATTGGCATTAATCAGAGCCGGCTCTTGGCAAAATTGTGGCCTGTGCGAGCTTTGAATTGTGAGCCCTTGCCCCAGTAAAACTGACAGAAACTTCTCATTGCAATTTCGATTTTGGCGTCACTTATGGTGGGTGCCCTGTTCGGAGTTCGATCCTGGTATTCATTAAAAGTCCCTCGTATTTCAATATGTATACACACTGTGTTAAAATTATGCAACCGTGCAATATGAGAGAACTGAATGTGCTGGCTACATAATGTGCAACGTAACATTTTATCAATACTCAACTACACTTACCATGGTAGTCGTGGAATTACAGCCAAACAAGTAGGCTTAGAAATGACTTATTACAATGCCACTCTACAATCTTGAACCTCTAGGCTCAAAATCACTTTTTAATCATAGCATTTCAAATACTAAAAGTAAGGTAGAAAGAGTGGAGACTTTTGAATATAAATATCATAAAGACTAAAACTCAAAATTAAAACAAACCAATAATTTTACTCTAAAATAGCACATTTATCTCAAATGCACAGTGTCTAAGTTTTGATAATGTATCACAATAAAAATGTCATCGTATGCTATAGTGGGAAATTCAGATACAGGTAATGATCCAAGATAATTATACATAAAAAAAAATCGTAACTTGTCTTAAGTTTTTAAAAAATAATTACTCATAAAAAAGAAATGAGGAAAAATGTGTAATTTCAGTAAAAAATAATTCATGAGATCTAATTTAACGAATAACATATTAAAACTTGCCTTTTTTATTTTTTAACATCTGCTCAAGAATGCTTGACGTCCATAGTCTTGATTGGTCGATCCTCTTCAAATTCATCAAATCACAATCGATATGCTTCAACATAGTGAATACTTGCTCTTAAAAGCATCATTAATTCAACATCATCCAGAACAAAACCCGAAATGAGGGAAAAGGCGGCAGTGTAGTGATAAAAACCTGCAAGTAAATTATGAAGAAAAAGTTGATAAAGACCATTCAGTCTAACCAGGATTAACGTTTAATTACCAGATGAATCATCTGTTAAAATTGTAAATCCACTATACCTAACTGATAAAGAAGTAAATAAAAGAAATTATGATAATTATATGTAAAATAATCAGGATTTTTGTTTTGCTATTAAACATAATGCTGCATGATGAACTATATTTGCTCTGCCCACCGCGGGTATTGAAACCAAACATTTAGCGTTATAAGCCCTTACCGATGAGCTACAGGTGTCTCAAAGAGACTAATAATCGAATTTTCTACAATATCTTTCTTTTTTTTTTACTGAGACATGTTCTCCACACAAAAAATAAGGAACAATAGTTTTAATAATGTCATTTGTTATTTTCTCAAACTGTCAAGTGTATATAATAATGAACAATGTAACAATAGTTTTAATAATGTCATTTGTTATTTTCTCAAACTGTCAAGTGTATATAATAATGAACAATGTAACAATAATTTTAATAATGTCATTTGTTATTTTCTCAAACTGTCAAGTGTATATAATAATGAACAATGTAACAATAGTTTTAATAATGTCATTTGTTATTTTCTCAAACTGTCAAGTGTATATAATAATGAACAATGTAACAATAGTTTTAATAATGTCATTTGTTATTTTCTCAAACTGTCAAGT